CAACTAATAAGAGATAAACATTTTATAAGATTTTGTATGGAAAGGATCCATCCATATCTTATTAAATGTTTTGTGGATTTAAAGCTTATGTTGGACTAAAGCTTGTAAACCCAAAATCTATTAAATACATATTTGTATAATACTCAAAATATGGCTTAGATTATTAAATGAAAACCTACTAAGAATAATTTCTATTATTCCTATGATAAATGAGTTAGTAGAAAACAAGCTTCTAATGACAAAGCTAGTGGGAGACACATGGAACTTGAAGCAGCTTAAGAACCATAGCCTGATGTAGTAACAATCGACACTACTTTTAAGAATGGATTTTTAAACTTGAATAATATCCATTCACAAATGTAAATTGTTCACATTGATGGTGGAAGTCAGCTATGACATGAGAAATGTGGAATCTCTCATTGATGAGCTCTTCTTGATGGTTTATGGCAAATCCATTAACTACCAAAATGCTATATCAGATCTCGAATATGATAAATGACTTAGAGTCATGAAAATGAGATGTAATCCATGTATAATAATCAAGTATGGTCTTTATTAAACTTTCTCCCTATAGCAAGGCTAGGATGAGTAAGTGATTCTTCAAGAAAGAAGACGTTACATGGATAACTATACACATTTAAAGCAATGCTTGTTATAAAAGGATTTTCTCATACCCATGTCATTAACTATTGTCTTCATCATACTCATGACATATACTATGATTAAACCTTTTTCACAAGTAGTTATGACTAGATCAACAAGGATATTATTTACTATAAATACATATTCTTAATATGAGATATAGCAAATAGATTTCAAGAAAGACCATTTTTCTTAATAAACATCTACTTGAAGATATCTATATAGATTAGCTTGGAGGTTTTCTTAATCCATGTTATCCTAGAAAAATGTGTAAAGCTTGCTATCCACTTGTGGATATAAAGAAAATATCTCAAGGTTGCAATCATCATTTTAATATGAAACCACAAGTTATGCTTTTATATAAAAATGAATAGAACATGTGTGTTTGCTAAGAACTAGTGGGAGCATAGTGGTATTCCTAATCATGTATGAATGAGACATACTTAATGATGAGAAATTACATTCTAACAATGCCATAACTTTTCACCTTGACTCGGAATGTGTTTCTAAGATGAAAGACTTAGGAATGATAAGATACATTCTTGGAATATAAAATCTATAGGGATAGATAAAATGAATATTAAAGTTTTATTTATTTATGTATACATTGGCAATATATATATATATATATATAGAAAGCTATCAAGATATAAAATTCCTTTGGAGAAATATTGGCATTTTCACATGGCACTAATTTTGAGCCAGCCTCAAAAGAACCTAGGTCATAGGTTTAAACTAGATGAAATAATTTATATTCGATTTGCTTGGAAAATGAATCCATCATTTAAGCCATGTTATGCACAAGGCCTGGTGTATGATCATGTTATGAGAACATCATAATACACCAATTAAATACATGGTTAATTAAGTCACTAGATGATGTAAGAATACTTAAAAAGAACTAAGAGAATGTATTTGATATAGTTAGTTTAGAATAAAATCTTCATGTAAAGAGCTACATAAGATTCTAATTTCTAAACAAAAATAAATAATTATGAATTAGAATTGGATTATGACTTCATTATAGGAGGAAGAGTAAGTTTAGTTGGAATGAGGTCCAATCAAAACATAATTACATAGTTTACTACAAAATAAGAATACTACTTTAGAAGTTGAAATAAAATATGATTGGATGTGTGAATTCATTGAAAAACTATGTTGATTTTTGTTATTCAAGAATCACATAGAAATCTTTCTGACTTTGAGAATTTACTTAATCATGCTAAGTAACTCTATTTCAGAAGAGAACACAATTCATATTCTTTGAGATATTTAACTATACTTATAGTAGAGTCAACATGGAGATGAAAGTAATCGTAAAATTCACACAAATTAAGTTTATTCGAACCCATTAATAAAGTCCTTCTTTTAAGCTAAATATCAATGGTCACACTTTACTTGTAAGAATTTACTATTCTATAAATGGGATTTTGGTTTGGGTTTAATATTTGCCTATTTGGATATTGGATGTGACATCCCCAAAATCACGGTCAGAAAAGATCGGTTTTGTTTATACTTTATTTCAAAATCAGAGTAACCTTTTAATAAAAGAGTTGCAGAATTTGTCCCAAAACAATAATATGATAAAGATTTATCAAAAGCATTTCCTTAGAAATATATTTCATTAAAAGACTCGGGATGTCATGTTCGATACAGTACATAAGTATAAACAATACAATATAAGCTTTACTACATTATTTCATATCTACAGGCCTATATCCGTAATCCCTCATCCAAAACATCACATCTATGCTCATGCGCCACTACCTGTAATACAAGAAACTGAGTGGGTCAGGCTTGGGAGCCTGATGAGCACATAGGGTTTTCAACCCACAGTAAATAAGTTTATTAATTTAATCAATCATCAATAACCCGATTACCCGTTCCCCTTATCCTCACATTACGTCCCTAAACACCTATCATAAGGGACTTATCCTAAGGATCATCATCGGGATGGACACTACTGCTAAGGGGGTTCCTTAGCAATAAATTTCCTAAAGGCAAACATGAGGGGGATGGAGTACACCGGTGAACACATCGTTCACAACACCTACAGGTTGCGAGCCTGCCAACATTCCACTGGACTGTCTAAAAGAGTCTGTGGCCTTCATCTATACTCTGCTAGATGACTGGATCAACAACAACAACAACATCGAGGCCTCTCATCATTTTGTCACACATCACCTATAACATCTACTCATTTTTTACCCTAACATTTTCGTAGATATAAAATACATATACAGTTTAAATCGTTGAAAACATGTATAAAAACGTTCATCCAGCATAGATAGCAAGTATTCAGATAATATGCACACATAGCATGTAATTTATATAAAATACTTCATATCTATGTGTAAGCTGAAAGTAACTATGCACTCACCTGAAAGGTGGTGACTCAGCACTCGCACAGCGCTTCGATACTCTCAAAACAATTTTCCTTCGATAAAACCTAGTACCAATACCACTAGGGTTTAGTCTAACGATAACCATGACAAATTAATAGTCTGACTATTATTATTATTATATAAGCGTTAAATAACACTCAATATGACTCATAATAATAACCCAAAATTTTATTTTAAGGACCTAATAACATTACTATAATTATTTGAAAGCTATATTAAAATTTGTGTAAGCATAGCTCACTTACAACGAACATTAAAGAAAATAAGGTTTTATTTGGAGCAGCATTTCGAAACCAAAAGACTCTTTTTCTCGGGACTCCGGGAGCCTCGGGGATTCCTTAGGGTGCTAGGGGTTCACCTAGACTTTAGGGGACTCAAAAGGGGATAGAGAGAGAAATTTTAGAGAGAAGAAATGAACAAAGTTTTGAGATTTTTGGAATGGCTCGCATGCTATTTATAGCCGGAGGACTTCAGATTACGTTGGGCGTATCGAGGGTACATTGGGCGTACTCTCGGATAAGAATGCCAGCTCGCAGCCAGCTCTCTCGCATCATCGCCGGATGGGTAAGGAGCGAACGTACGCGGGGCGTAGGCGAGGGTGACGCGTCAAGCTCCGAAGCGAGCACCGTGGTCAGCAAGCGACGGTCCAGATGCTGCCACGTCATCAACTTCGCACCAGATTCGTGATTTTCTACTCCGACTTCTAAAAATCATAACTCTCGCATCCGAGCTCCGTTTTTGACGTTCTTTATATTTACGCGAAGGTGGTAACGTACTATACAACTTTCGTTTGGACTCCGTCGGCTAATTTTGAATTTATTTAAAATGTTATATTCTTAACAGGCCGGGACATGATTAGTCCGTTAAAAATTCATAACTTCTTCATCCGATGTCCGTTTTCGCCCATCTTTTTCTCGTTATCCTACTCTTAACGATATTTTTGATTCTCGTTTAGGTCATTTCGGCTAAAAACTGCTCGTTCTATTATTCGGATTTCGGGTTGTACACTACTAAGCCGAAACTTCGAAAAATCATAACTTCCTCATACGAAGTCAGATTTGGGCGTTCTTTTTATAGACGCTCTCGATTTAACGTATTCTACGACTTTCGTTTAGATCGCTAAGGCTAAATCTCGTTTTATCATAAATTCACTATTTACGCTTCCTGGTATCGTGCCGGTTCCGTCGCGAAACTTCAACGGGTCATAACTTCTTCGTTATAACTCGGATTTCGGCGTTCTTTATATCACCGGTATCCTTGTTTCGACCACTACAACTTTATATAAAGATATCAGGATTATCTTACACTTTAATTTTGACGCTTATTTTTATTCTTTATTAATTATACATTTATAATTAAATAATAAGCACATAAATACACATAATTTCACATAATACTCAAATACTTCATCTTTATTACTTTAAAAAGAGTTACAAGAGTTTACCTAGACTATTACATTGTCTAAAAATGCTTAGCCCTGAAACCCGGACGTTACATTGGAACATTGTGACAACAACTATTGGATAATGTCTTGATATACTGGGATATAATCATCACATTAATACTTGTTGTGTTCTATATTAACATGTTTAATCCATGAATAATCTTATTATATATACCATCAATTCTTAAAAAGTTTAGCTGCAGTTCACTTTTTTCTCTTTCATCAATTCACACGGAACTTTTTTTTTCTTATTTTGAACACTAAACTTCTTGTATTCGCTCCTTCTTATCTCATTTTCTTGCCGCCTCACATTCCACCAATGAGATTTATCACGTTTTTTTATGTTTTTGATCTTATTTTTTTGCTTCCTTCTGCTTTTTGTTTTCTCGCTGCGTTCGTCCTTTCCTTTACAAGAGTTATTTTCCTTTGTTTTTGCTTGCTGCTTTCGTTTTCTCCCTTACAAGCTTCGCTTTTTAGGTATGTTTTGGTGATCCTCCCTCTATAATATCATGTCTGTAGGTTCGTCTTCTAAACGCTGTTTTTCTCCTCATTTAGCTGGCCTTCTGTCTTCCGAAAAAGGGTCCTATTCTTCTGTTGGTAACGATGCTTTACTTTTGCCTTCTTACGATGATATCGGCGATTGCACCTTTGTTTGTAGATTTTGTAGTGCTTTTTTCTGGTTTGATGAAAGGGTTATGTATTTGTCACGTCCAGATTGCCCTGCCTATACGCAGTGTTGTAAATCTGGTTCTATTGTTTTACCATATCCACTTCTACCTCCTAAATTGTTGCTTGCTCTATTTGATTTTCGCCCTTTCATCAAAAACATAAGGGCTTATAATAGTATGTTTAGCATGACGTCTTTTGGAGGTAAGGTGGATGACACTGTTAATAGGGCGGATGGTCCATATGTATTCAAAGTTTCTGGTCAGGTTTGTCATTGGATTGGTGCTTTTGATGTTGTTGATGAAAAAGGACCAAAGTTTTTGCAATTGTATATTGTTGATACAGACCATGAATTGCATAATAGGCTCTCTGCTTTTCCAAAAAATGAAAATGGCTGTTTAGATTCAACAATAGTTGAGGCTCTTATGGATCTTTTTACAGCTCATAATGAATATGTTAGAACTTTTAAATGTGCAAAAGATATTGCTGCTGAAAGAAACTTACCTGAATATGCAGTTCGTCTTTTTAATGATGTTCCTAATCATCTGTATGGCCCTCCGGCCCCTGGTAGTTTGGGTTGTATTGTCGTTGGTGAAGACGCAGTTGGCAGTACATATGATATAGTTGTGCATTCAAAAAGTGGTCCTCCGCGTAGGATTAGTAAACTTCATCCTAGCTACATGCCATTGCAGTATCCTGTTTTGTTTCCCTATGGTGAGGATGGTTGGTCCCCAAGGTTGAAGCTTTTAAATGAGGTTGGTTCGAAGGCTAGGAATCTTAGTATCAACATGTATTATTCTTACCAAATACATGCAAGGAATGGTATATATTCTGTTGTGCTAAATTCATGTAGATTATTCCAGCAATATTTAGTTGACGCATATGCATGTATTGAACTTTCGCGGCTTGATTTTTATGAACAAAATCAAAATCACCTAAGATCAGCATATGTTAGTGGTATTTACGATGCCATATCACGTGGTGATACTGATGGTAGAAGTATTGGTAAGCGTGTTATTTTACCACCATCTTTCGTCGGTGGTCCAAGGTATATGTACAGTCATTATCAGGATGCCCTTTCTATTTGTCGGGAATATGGGAATCCACAGTATTTTATAACATTTACGTGTAATGTTGGTTGGCCTGAAATCAGCAGGTACATGGACATGCATCGCCAGTTTGATGTTCCGAGCAGGGCAGACATAATCTCACGTGGTTTCCATATGAAAGTTATTGCCTTTATTAGTTATTTGAAATCTGACAAGACGTTCGGTCCTGTTTCAGCACGTAAGTTTTTTTTTTTCTGTGACAATATTTTTAAAAAAAATATGTTCCCTGTATTTTCGTTTATTCATTACTGTGTTTAGATTGTTATATTGTATTTACTAATTAGTTTTTTTTAAATATTTTTGTATTTTTAACAATGTTCTTTTAAAAAATATATTCGCTGTAAGTTTTTTTTATTTTTATTTTCTGTGACAATATTTTTTAAAAAAATATGTTCCCTGTATTTTCATTTATTCATTACTGTGTTTAGATTGTTATATTGTATTTACCAATTAATTTTTTTAAATATTTTTTGTATTTTTAACAATGTTCTTTTAAAAAATATATTCGCTGTAAGTTTTTTTTTTTTTTTTTTTTTTTTTGTGACAATATTTTTAAAAAAAATATGTTCCCTATATTTTCGATTATTCATTACTGTGTTTAGATTGTTATATTGTATTTACTGATTAATTTTTTTTTAAATATTTTTTGTATTTTTAACAATGTTCTTTTAAAAAATATATTCGCTATAATTTCGTATGTTCATTAGTGAATTTAGATTATTATATTTTATTTACTAATTAGTTTTCCTTTTTTGAAAATTTTATTGTGTTTACTATTTAGTTTTCCTTTTTTAACGGTTCTTTCTTTGGCAGATCTATATACTATTGAATTCCAGAAAAGGGGTTTACCGCATTGTCATGTGCTCATATGGATAGCAGATTCCCACAAGATAAAGGAACCATCTGCCATTGATGCTTACATTACAGCTGAATTACCTGACCCTATTTTGGAGCCATTATTATATCAGACAGTTACAAGATGCCTTGTACATGGACCGTGTGGTTTGCTAAATACTAAGTCCTCATGTATGAAGGATGGTAAGTGTAAGAAAAGATTCCCAAAAAATTTCCATAACGATACAGTTTTTGACAAGGATGGTTATGCACATTATAAAAGGCGATCTGGTGCGGTCCATAGGTTAGAAACAGGTGTAGAAATAGACAACAGGTTCATTGTCCCGTATAACAAAAGACTGTGTTGTCGTTTCAATGCACATATAAATGTCGAGTATTGTGGGTGGAACATGATGATTAAGTATTTGTTCAAATATGTATCGAAGGGAATGGAGCGTGTTAGGTTTGTTATTCAGAGAGATGTGCACACTTCTGGATCTTCTGTTTCAGTAGAACCTCCTATCATTGATGAGATTAAGAACTATATCGATGGCCGTTTCCTCTGCCCTCATGAAGCCGCGTGGCGTATACTTGATTTTCCGATTCATGACCGAGATCCGTCAATTGTCATACTGCCTATACATTTGCCAAATATGCAATCTGTGTTGTTTAAAGAAAACATTAGTATTAACCAGGTTGTTGACGATCCCAACTTTGGAAGCAGTTTGTTGTTAGGTTGGTTTGATAACAATAAGTGGGATAGAACTGGTCATAATCTTACATATATCTCATATCCTACTAAGTACTGGTGGGACAAACAGGCAAAAGCTTGGAAGAGAAGGAAACATTGTAATTCCCATGCATTAGGTAGACTTATCTTTGTTCATCCATCTGCTGGAGAATTATTTTACTTAAGAGTGTTGCTTTGTCATCAAAAAGGTTGTAGGTCTTATGAAGAAGTTCGTACTGTCTCTGGCACTGTGTACTCTGATTTTCGAGCTACCTGTGATTCGTTAGGTCTAATAGGGGAAGATCGAGAGTGGATGGATGCTTTTACTGAGGCTTCTGAATGGGCTACATCATCTCAGCTTCGTTCTTTATTTTGTTATCTGCTCCTTCTATGTGATGTTAACAATCCTATGTGTTTGTGGCATTTTGGATGGAAGAAAATGAGTGATGATTTGGTACACAATATAAACATGTCAAATCCTGGTGTTGATGTAAGTATAGATGATTTGCACGTACAGCAGATAGTTTTATATGAACTGGATCATGTGCTTAGGTCATCTACACCTTCAAAATCTGTTGTTGATTTTCATTTGCCCAAACCTACAGAGGAGACTGTTGCTATGTTAAGAAATAGACTTTTTTAGAAGAGACAACGTACGATAAGGACATTTTGAAAGCTACTCACCAACAGATGTTGTCGTCTCTAAATGATGAGCAGCTGAACATCTACAATGTTGTTCAATCTGCAGAAGTTAAAAGCCAACAGATGCTGCTTTTCGTTTATGGCCATGGAGGGACTGGTAAAACTTTCTTGTGGACAACAATACTAGCTTATTTCCGTTCAAGAGGAAAAATAGCTCTTGCTGTTGCTGCTTCTGGTATAGCATCTCTGCTTCTTCCATCAAGAAGAACTGCTCATTCCAGGTTCAAAATCCCAATTGACTTTATTGATAATGTCGCATGCAATATTACAAAAAAGACAATGCTTGCTGAGTTGTTGAAGGTAACTTCCATCATTATATGGGATGAGGCTCCCATGAGTGACAAACATTGTTTTGAGTGTTTGGACCATTCTTTGAGAGATATCCTTGAATGTGAAAGTAAAGTCTTTGGTGGTATGTCGATGTTATTAGGAGGAGACTTTCGTCAGACATTACCTGTGTCGCCAAAGAACACACCCTCTGAAATTATCTCCCTTACGCTGCCAAACTCGTACTTATGGCCATATTTCAGTTTGTATAAATTGACAGATAATATGCGGCTTAAAAACCTGTCCACCTCATCTGATAGTCATTTAGGTATCTCAAAGTTTGCATCCTGGTTACTTCAAATTGGGGATGGACTCATTGGTGAAATTGATGCATGCGATAAGACAAATACCAAATGGGTTGAGATTCCTATGTCACTGATCATACCTCCAACAAAAAACGCATTACACAGCCTTATAGACTTTGTTTATGGAGATGATATTCTGAAAAAATCCTCTGCTTCGACTCTGTCTGCTAGAGCAATAGTTTGTCCAAAAAACGAAACAATCCAAAAAATAAATGATATAGTTTTGCAGAGAAGTCCTGGTGATTCAAAGATGTATGAAAGTGCTGACAGTATTGAGTTCAATGGGAACCAAAGTACAGAGTTTAATACTTTCTATCCATTAGAGTATTTGAATGCCTTGACCTTCCCTTCCATATCTGTGCATTCACTGTTATTGAAAATCAACACTCCTGTTATGCTGATTCGGAACATAAACCAAAAAGAAGGTTTATGCAACGGCACACGACTGATGGTTTCACAGTTATTGTCCACCGTTATTGAGGCAACAATTATTACTGGGACTTCCATTGGGAGCAAAGTTTTAATCCCCAGAATTAGATTTATTCATAAAGCCCCTGATATACCTTTTACCTTTGTTAGGAAACAGTTTCCATTAAAAGTCTGTTATGCTATGACTATCAACAAAAGCCAGGGGCAATCTTTAAAAAAAATTGG